CCCCCCCTTCCCAGGTCACAACTCTGCAGGGTGGATAAAATGCAAGGATTTTTTAAAAGATGAATTTTATTTAAATCAGATGTTTTTGATTAGATAGTTTTAATAAGATACAATTTTGAGGGAAAAACCTAAGATAAAGAATAGCTCAAAGATCTGTCATGGACTAGGGATTATAAATTCTAATGCTAGAGTATGGGACAATGTATTCATGTAACGTTTATTTTAAATTAGTTCCAAAACTAATCTTATGGAGTTCCAGAGGTTTCTGTATAGATTAGTTAAAAAGAGTAACCTATCTACCCAATGGGACTCAGTGCTCAGTCTAGAGCCATGGTGTCCAACCAATTCTGAAGCAGTGGCCACTATAGTAGCTACTGCTATAGCGGACTTGCCACATTCAACCAACCAAATAGCCATGTGTGGCTAGCATGTTGGACACCACAGATGCAAATGTAGCTGACCGAAATTGCTAATGAAGTGGGGATTTAAATATCCCACACTTCATTAGCATAATCTCACCTGCACATTAAACCCCTTGGTTTGAACCAACACATCCTGGAGCTCACTTCCTGGTTCGAATCAGCTGTTGAGCGGAGTAACGCGCCGGCGAGATTATGCTAATGAAGCGCGGGATATTTAAATCCCCACTTCATTAGCAATTTCGGTCGCCTACATCTGCATCCCTAGCTTGAACTAGGGAGCAAGTGTAGACGTACCCTAAGATACTATCAGAGATGCTTAGCTTTGCAGTTCTCAAACTGTGGATTTGTGTCTCCAGAGAGAACATGCTTGTTAACAGCAAAAATGTTTTGAAATAAGTATCTAGGAGGTGAGAAAACAGACCTCAACCCTATCTGTGTACACAGAGTCAATCCCTTGCCTCTCTCTAAAAGTGCAAAATTTCAAAAAGCTCTTGGGGAAGGAATAGATCTGGACAAGGAGAAGAAGTCTGGAGATAAATGTGAGAAGGGAGGGACAGGTAGTAGAAACAAAAACAAAACTGTTTGAGCAGCATATTCCTGATATCTTGAGGTCTGAGTGTAGCCTTCATTGATTTGAGATCTACCATACCACTCTCTCACTGGAATGCACTTTTATGTAGAAAACCATGATTAAATCAGGTCTTCCTGACTAGTGATTTAAAGCAAATTGATTTAAATCAAGTCCACCCTACAACTCCTTTCCAGAACCTGCATCCCCTCCTACACCCCTCTCCTGCACCCATACCACCTCCTGAAACCTGCACCCCAGTCCCCTGCCCCAAGTCATAACCCCCTCCTTCACCCAAACTCCCACCCCACACCCAGTCCCCTACCCTGAGCTCCCTTCTACAGCCAACCCAAAGCGCCCCCCCCCATTCAAAAATTATTACCCACTGCAACCCAAAGCAACTCTGCTCCTCTCTCTAGCAGCAGGACTTCATTTATGTTCTCATGTCACATAGCTCAGTCGGCTCTGAGCTAGAAACTGGATAGGAATCCATTATCCCAGCATGTCTCAAGTAGGGATGTAATAGTGTAGTCAATTAAAAAGCTTATAGGTTAATGCTATAGACTATACACATTCCCCTCTCCCCCTTGCCAGTAAATTTTTTTAGCAGGCTGGCCAGCAGCCTGGCTCAGTCCTGGCACATGCTGGGTCCAGGCCCTACCCCCGCTGCAGCTCTGCATTTAAAGTGTACTGGGAGCCAGGTGGACAGGCAGCCTGGCTCAAATCTGGCTTGTGCTGGGCCCAGGAGTTCAGCCCCTCCCCTGGACAGGGACTGCTGCCATCCTGCGTTGCTACCTCTGTATTAGAGGCAGCAGTGCAGAGCAACAGGTAGCCAGTGCACAGGGGGAGCTGGTTTTCAAACTGGCTGCCCCTACCCCTGTGCTGCTGCCTCCGATACAGAGGCAGCAGTGCAGAGTGGCTGGAGTGCACTGGCTGCCGGCCCTGCCCCTGGGGACTATAGAATACTCAACCAATAAGAATTCATGAAGTTAATCGACTATTCAGTTAACTGATATTGAACATCCCTAGTCTCAAGAAGTAAATACCAATTTCCTAGTATAGGAATCATCAGACAATTAAACCCACCTAGCCAAGAATTTTCTCCCCAAGAGTGGGCAGATGAGATGCTTCAGAGTAAAGCACACAACCCTGATAAAGATAAGGTTTCTTTCTCAACCCCAGGCAGCTGGTGATTGGTTTTATGCCCTTAAGCAGTAGAGAGTCACTCATTATCCACAATGGATGAGAAGTAGCAGCTCCACTACATAAAAAAAAGTCTCTCTAATGTGGAGGCAGGAAAAGGGAATAAGGGAATTTGTGTGCCGCCATCTTGGTCTTGTTAACAAGAGAGCAAGAGTCAGGCTAAGTCTGTGGCCTGACAACGCGAGATCTGTAATTAGACGCTGCCTTCGCCTCTCGCCTCCATACGGAGATAAGGATAGAATGCTGACTCTGGTAGGGACCTTGAGATAAGGAGCATCTGGGTGGAACTAAATAACTGTTAGCCATTGGTGTTTGTAATGGGAAGGAGACTAATTGTTATTGTTATTATATTTAATAGACAGTATATAAACTGCTTCATAATTGCTTGTATTCAAAGATCTGCCTCGGGGGGGCTTCCCCCCTGTCCGAACCAGTTTTTCCCCTTGCTGCAGCGCGTAATAAAACTGCCTCTGGCTACTTGTTGCTTAAACACAATGCAGAGTGAAGGCTTGTTTTCTTCCACACTAGACTGCAAGCGAGTTTCTAGCTTATAACATTGTGATCAGTGGTACAGACTTAAGCTAGGTACAATATAGACATCTACACTCAGCTCTGCCTATGCACTTCAAGAATGACCTGCAACAACCTTCCAGGAGTTAGTTATTCCTTTCCACACTAATTAATCCCGTATAACATGGCATTTGAGTAACATTATCTGCTATATGGTTAGATTGCTACTGAACACATTTGAGTCAAGATTTTTCTGATTTCTCAAGGTGAAAGACTCAAGTCTTATGCCAGTAATTTATTTCTATGGTCTGCTTGAATTCCATATAAACACTTCATTATCTCTGGCATTTAACGATGCCCCGTCCCCAAACAGATTCCTTTTAAATGTAGAATATTTTCAGTGCTCCATGCTCTGTTAAGATCAAGAAAGCAAGCTGAAAAGCAGGGCTACTCGGAGATAAGAATGAAGAGGCCAAGAACAAGGCTAGCAACCTGTACTTAAGTTCACCACTCTGGACAATCATTCAATCACTATCTTTCTGCCTCAAATGGAATGGAAGAGTCATCTTTTCCCTAAAGAATGGCTGGTAAGTGAAGAGCACCTCTTCACTTGGATTGTTGAAGTGTGAGCACACTCATGCTGCAGGAATCACTGGTGACTGACCGCATGGGAGAGATCCAGAACAAATGGCAAAATAATGTATTATTTTCAACTATTCAACCTCAATGCCCGAAACAGATTTAAATGGAAATGGGCCAGTAATAGTACTTTTATTGAGTTGGCTCTAACAACTTTGCAGTAGCTAGAGCAAACCTGTACACCAATTTCTGTATACAATATTCCATATTCTTGTGGTTAGCTCCAACTGATAAGCTCATGTTTGGGCTCATGCTGCCTAGCTGGAAATTGTTTGGCAATAAAAAAAAAAAATCTGACTTGAACAATTTTGATCTTGGATAGCAAAACACTGACTTGACTGGTCTGATAGTAAACATAAGATTTCAGTATTTAAAGTGAATAGATAAGGTGTTACTAAACTTTACTACCAAATTATTCCAACTAGCAGACGTATGCAGATCTGGCTACATCCTAACACTTACATGTCAAATGAACTTCACCCAATTTACAGTGTACGCTGAATACTTCCTGTACCAAACTCTTCCACCAAAAGGCTCAACTAAACATTTATTAGATTTTGATACAAGAGACACACACATCCCAACTAGTGTCCCTCTAAGCTGTGGGACAGCCCATCTTCCCAGGTGACTAATCAGCCCTGCCCAGTCAGAGGCTCAGGGCTCCATGCACAGAGCTGGCTGACTACCTGATAAGCTGTGCTGCCACACAGCTTATAGGGAATGCTGATCCCAAACACTACGTACCACTGACAAGCAGCAGGGCAGCCCCCAGATACCAGCACAGCCAGAGTCTTTACTCCCCCTAACTTCTTTACAACAGTTCTACCAGGGACTATGATGCGGTGCAGCCCTGCCCTTCCTTACTCATTTGTACTGTATACACCTAACAAGTTGAACCCTAGCACAAAGAATGGGCTTATTTGAAACCAAAATCTGCTTTATGTATGCAAATGACAAGAAATTCCTCATTGGTTAGGCCAGAAAACTAT